GGGCTACTACGTTCTGTGTAGCAGTCTGATGCTCTACAGTATGTGGACCGGGTCCGAAGGATTTCGACTGAGTCAGCATTCGACACTTCATCGCAGTTTAGGGGTTCGGGGTTCCAGATGCTATGCAGAGGCTCACTCACCAAGTTATACAATATGTAGATTCAAACCTAGCATACGCGTTTAGGAGGTAGGTCTTCCAGATTTCGGAGATATGAATCTCTCAACGGTGGAGTTGAACAGTGTTCGCAGAAAGGCCTTGTGTCCTCGAGGATCCAATCTCGCACCGCCCGCCCCAGCCCCCTTCCCCCCCATTCCCCCCCACAGACGCCCACGCGCGCACACAGGCGCACAGACACTTCAACAGCTGTGTGTTTGTACACAGTTGGCAAGATCTGTAGGCTGCAGGTGTTGAGTTTGGAGTGCGGGGTCTGTGCTCGGGAGATGCACCCATCTTGGAGTTTATGGAACCATGGATCTACATTTGCCCATCTGGGAGTTTGTGGAACCATGGATCTGCATTTCTGTGGTCGCTGCAGACTGATTCCTGGTCGATTGTTTACCCAGCCGACGCGCGCGTGCGCAAAAAGCGAAGCGGTATGACCTTTTCAGGAGCTTCTTGTAAACCCTAAACCTTACCTGGACCCTAAAACTCCTATTTTTTCTGGGTACAGGGTTTAGGGCGGGCTACTATAGGGGCCTTCATAATTAGAATAGGGTCTGGGGGTCGACTATACTAGAAGTAAGTCAGGATTCCCGAAATGGATAATTATTCAGGCCGCTTGTATTATGTGAGCGAGTGAGCATGCCAAGCCGTGCACCTATCAGGCTAAAAGCACCATTCGCCAAGCTTGAGTGCAAAGACTTGCGAGTACATTCTCAATTTAGGTGTGTTCGGTACAACACCGTATCTGACCGAACCTCAAACCTATCTTGGACCCTGAACCTTTCAGAGGACCGCCGGCGAAGCTTTTCACAGTGCTTGATTTTTCCGTGTAACGGTGGTGGGGTGTTTTCTTGAGGGGTCAGGTGCCACGTAGTCTTCTTGATTGCTTTTCTGCTGTGAAGCTTCACTTGTTGGGTTGGCGAATGTCTCAGATGAGCGAGTGCCGCTATGTGCTCAAAACAGGTCCGTGATGGTCTGAATTCACGGCGGCAATAGCCGCTGGTGCATGAGGGAAGGTCTCGGCGAGTGAGTTTGGTATCCTCCCGATTTCTTCCTGTTCAAGCTTAAATCAAACCAATGGCGAATTCTAGGCATTGTACGCCAAAGGGTTTCAATGCCTGCAAGACCCGCGCTGCAGGTCGGAAGTCCGACAAAGATTCTCTTCCAAACTTGATCTTTGCCGAGACTTTCGTGTAGATGAGAGCATAGCCAAACGTTTGCTCTGCTTTCCCGGAACAGGAGCAGGAGATACCCGAACCCAGAACTCCAGCAAACTGTAGGTATCCCATAGATGTGTTAATTCATGCTTGCATCCGTGCGAGCTTCAGTACATTCATATGAGCGAATACGAGCTCCTTCACGCAGTCGTCACTTTCGTTTCTTCCGGATGTCTTTTGTAGTGACCGCCTCTTACAAAAACCGCGTCATTCAAGCTTCCTTGGCTTTCTTGAAGAGGCCTGCCCCTTCGGCACTATAGATACTCTACCTACCTTAAACCTTGCACCCTATAATAGGAGCTCAATCTATACCCTCAGTCGTAGGACCTGCATCACGGGACCTTACCAAAGTGGTGCCATGGCCAACCGCTGACCTTGCTACCACGAGGCCTGCTGATCCGCCACTAGAAGCCAAGCTCCTTCTCTGTCTCTATACGTGTATACACGTGTAGGTATCTATGTGTATGTGTATATGTATATATATACACACACATAGTTCTAGTTGCTTTTGTAAGTTGGAGTGCTATGCTCATGCCTTGACAGTGACCTTCTTCCCATCTCATAATAACTACATACTTGCCCATAACATATACGTATATACCGTATATACATACAGCACACAGACATGTAGACATAAAGACAGGTTTACATGTCAGATTCGTATAGGTGTTTGGTGGTCTAGCACTGTAGAGGCCCACGCTGCCCACGCCCTGTGGCTAATATTTTGATGCTACTCCTCAACTCTATAAACCAAAGGAAGGGATGCCCTTAGTTCCGAACACAAAGCTGTCTTCGGGGTTGTGAAACCTCCTAGCAGCCTGGCGCTCGGAGTTCTTATATAAAAACCAAAGGTATAGCCTAGCATAGTACAGTACGGTCTAGTCCAATCCAGTCTAGAATAGTATCGAAAAGTATAGTATTCCACTGCAAAGCCTTTGAATAATACGTTTCTTATGCGATTTGGCGGCAATTTGGCGTCTTCTACGAGAGAACCGGGGTTCAAGCCTTGCTGATGGTGGCCAGGGCTTTGGGCGAGTCAGGTAGGCGTGTGGGGTTACTAGGATTCTAGGAGTTAGAGTGCCCATAGGCCCCTAAGTAGTTCCTTTTGGGGATTAGGATTCCAAATGTAAACCACAGGAACTACTTAGGGGCTTGTGGGTAAGGCTTACATTCTGAATGCCAGTTGCACATGTGAACAAATCTGTGGCGCTCACAATTTTTCGCTTTCAGGATGCACTAGCCCTCCAAACCGAAAGCTCGAACCCAGCCCCTGCCCCTGAACCCTCGAGCCCTATCGCAACAGGTCTATGCACTTAAGCTCTCCGAGTGCCCAATCCTGGCCCGGGCCACAGTACTTTTCTTCATCGCGTTGCTAGAGGGTTTTTTTCTGTAGGGAACGGTATATGGTAACTTTAGATGTAACTCTAAGGGCATTAGGGCTTTGAGGTTTTCCTCCTGGTAGCTGAGTAGGCAACCTTGAAGCATAAGTTTTTGGGTTTAGGGTTTGGGACCCCCAAACCTTACTAGGATGCGAAGGTTAAGGTTGTTTTAGATTACGGAGCTCAACACATGAGCTCCGTAAGCCAATTAAGGGCTCAGGGACATGTAGACGAATGAGCTCCCTGGGCCATGTTGTGCTCCCTGTTGGCGCGTGTCGAATCCTAAGCAAGCCCCACACTAAAGCCCCAAGGCATGAGGTGTCAGAGGCTGATTTTTAGGTCAGCTCAGAACGTAGAAAGCCTTCCAGGCTCGGGGCCCCGAATCCCTCGCACGAAGCATGGCTGTAGAATTTCAGGGTCCCAGTTTAGACTTCGGAGCGCTTTTGTTTATGAGACTTGTGTGGGAAACCCTGAGAAAATCGACCCAAAACTGAGGCCCTAAACCCTAAACCTTAAACCCGAAACTCTAAGAAATCGACCCAAAACTGAGGCCAGTCGGGAGGCCCAGTAGCCCGGCCACCCTGACCCGACCTGCCTCGGGCGGGCTTCGCCCGTCGGCTCTGCGACCCGCCTCCGCCGCCTCCTCCAATTCGACTCTGGGCCTGTTTTCGAAATTGGGGTTTAGGGCTTCCCAATTGGCAGAGTCTGGGTTCAAAAAAGGTTTTAGAAGGTTGGAGTTAAGGGTTTGGGGGTTTTAGGGGCATTCTGTCAACAAGGGTGCGGCTTATTGTACTTAATGATAATAGCAACGGGAGCGATGGTCATCACAATGCTAGCTGGTATGAATGCAGTGACTACACGTAGTCGTAGCAAGCGATAGTGAAGGCCCTAAACCCAAAGCCATCGAAGTTTGAGTGAGGTGAATCTGCCCCGCTTTGGCCAAAGTGCTTTCGTCGTACCATCAACCTCGCCAGGCATGTCCCAGTTGTGAGTGAAACCCTGAACAACATGGGCTTCGGAGTGCATGCGACGAAAGAGTCCCGCAAGCACAAAACAATAAGAAAATGCAACCCCGAAGAACAGGAAGGGCAGCTCCGGTTCGGCACGCTCTGGTGCCATCAAGTCCACCCCAGTGGGGGGCCGAAGCAGCAGCAAAAGGCTAACATCGAAGACTCTCCAGGTCGGGTCAGGGCCGTCCTTAAGGGTTTGGGTTAAAGTGTAGGGTTTAGGATTCAGGGTTTAGGGCTTTTGTCTGATCTGTAATCTGTACTTGAGAGAAATTCTTGGAGTCCTGGTATCTTGAGCCGGGCCACAGCTGAGTGGTCGTGATTCTTTTTTGTTTGTTCAGGTCGAAGTCTGCGGCGGTCTTGAAGCCGCGTTTTGAACGTGTTTGCACAGGAAGTCACAGCCGACATGTGTCCGTGAGAAGGAGACGAAAATTTAAAGTTTAGATAGTCGGCCCAAGCTGTTGGCCTTCATGTGGGCCCATCAAACAAGGCAGCACCTCCACTGTTGTCGTGATCAACGTCGGCATGAGCGCTGTCATGGCGAGCGTTTGTCGATTCCGCGTCTGTGCGCGCATGTATAAACTATGGACCCACGCATACAGAGAGATACATACATACATACATACATACATACATACATACGACCAAATCTTGATCCTCGCCCGAGGCCATATCTTCAACAGTACCCCTCAGCTCCACCAGTCACGGCCACCACCACCACCACCATCATCATCATCAACATCATCACAGTTGTCGTTATTGCCGTGCAAGTGCAATCAATGTCGCTGTCATGGCCATCTATCTGAATCTATCTAGCCGCCTATCCATTTCACCGTCGTTGCTATTATCTTTTTTGTATCGTCGTTGACACCATAGCATTGGTCTCGCCGGCTTTGACACACGATTTCTTGTAACTCGCTTGTGGGGTCAGAGCACTCACCACCAGAGTGTTCTTCACTAAAGATCGGGATGTTCTCCTGGGCCCTTTGCGAAGTTATTGGTTCATGTCTTGATGAACTGAGGAACACATATTTGGATTGGGTTCGTGTGCAGCTATGAAGGATTCACTTCTTCTGTTAGACATAACGCCCCTTGTCTCACAGGCTTGGGGTGAGGTCGATTCCCAGGACCTGCGCCCGTCACCGACTCTCGGCCAATTGATTCATGGGCTCTGCAGCTTTACCGAACGTTGGTATTCTGCTCCCACTTTATGGAGGCAAACTAGGACCCAGATATGGCAAAGATGGCTACCAGCTGCTACCAAGCCTGGCCACTGTGATCAGTTTTGGCCTTGTCTTTGTTCCCCGACATGCAGAGACCCGCTTGACAGTCCACTGAAAGCATGTACTTGCCCCTCAGCCCTGGCCGGAGACATCAAAGGGCTCGGAATGACAGCCGAAGTATATGTTGCCCCAGACCTTGAAAGCCAAACCCCCGTAAGCCCTACATCTTTAACGTAAGTCTGAATGCTAGTTCGATCCCCAAATCCGAAAGCCTGAAAGATCCAGATCCTGAGCTTTGGGCGTCCCTCAGGAAGTCATTGAGGGGGAACTTCGGCTACGATTTCGACAACGAAGCCGACGACGCCGATCGGAAGCCCCGTGGGCACGAGTTCGGCTGGAGCGCGGCGCACGAGGCATGCGACAAGGGCCACTAGGCGCTTCAGTGAGCTCCGGTTCGAGGGTTAGGGTGTAGCGGACTAGGGCCTGGGGTTTAGGTTTAGGGTTTGATGTCGGGTTCTGGGCCTGGGGGGTTTGAAGGGTTTGAGGTTTATGTTTCCTGAATGAATAGGTACATGTAAGTTCGTCGTATCCCAAGAAGAGGTTCCAATGTGGTGGGTCTTCAGGCTTTCATAGGACTGTAAGACATAATAGGGGCCGTAGCACTTAAGATAGAGGTTTGGGTGTACTATGGTAGAATGGTACCTGGGACTCTAATGGCACATCCAAGTTCTTACAGCCGATTCAGACTTCCAGATCAGACCCCAGGAGGCCTGAGCCCGAAAGGAGGACTAAGGACTCTAAGAGTCGAAGCTCCAAACCTCTCAACCTCTGGACCCTAAACCTCTAAGCTCTAAACCTCTAAATAACCCTAAATCTCTAAACTTCTAAGCCCTAAACTCCTAAACCTTTAAACCCCTACACCCTAAACCTCTAAACTCCAAACCCTAAATCTTTTAAACCCTATATAAGCCTAAACAAGGGGCCATTGCCGGGTTGTCTACCTATAGTCACCATTGTAGTTCCTGTTTGTGGTTTAACCGATTTTATGTTTAAGATCCCATACGGCAACCCAAAGAAGCAACACTGGAGACTATAGGTACGTCTACAGGATTTGGTTTTGAGGTATAGGGGGCCTTCGGAATTACAGTGAGAGCAGATCACCTCTAAGACGTTCATCTGTTGGAGGTTGTCAGGGATGCGCGGTGCTTTGAGTTCGTAGTTTGGAGCCGTGTTGTGCTTGATGTTTTGAGGGCTACGGCTGGGGTCTTGGGCTTGGAGCTCGCGCCTTCTTCGGGTTCAGGTTCAGGGAAAAGGGCTTAGGGAAGCAAGTTTACAGCAACCCCTGACCGAAAAAGCTCTAATGCGGCACTGGGTTTAGTGGCCCCTGCCTCAAGCATTCGCCGGATAATGTGTAATGCGTGACCGTGACCCCCCTTGACCTGTCGGTAGATTCCTGAGCCCTCCTAATTCCACGGGAAAGGGTTGAAAAGCTCAAGATTTCTGTCCACGAGCCTGAGTGCGAGTAGGAGAAGTAGTAGTACTAGTAGTAGTCGTCGCTGTCGTAGTAGTAGTAGTAGTAG